TCATATATATGGTACCAATTCTGATGCACCAGATGTGCATTGCGACATATTATGTCTCTTCAGTGATGCTCATGCTGAAATGTTGGAAATCCAAGAAATTTAAATTAAAAAAAAACAAAGACTGTTACAGTAGCCATATATGTCGAATGAACAGAGGTATGCACGAGGGAGATAATTCTTAATTTTGAAATAAATATCTAAATTTTACGAGAGCAATTAAATATAAATCCATATTGTTAGGCTTTTGTTTTTATACTGAATTCAACTACGGAATGTTCAATAATTAGGGATCAAGGCGGGTGTGACCAGTCAACAGCGGAAGCTTACACTCCCTAAGCACTTGATCCCACCTCTGGAATTTGCAGGGGCCCATGTTTTATTCCCAATCTACAGATTGTATTGTTTATAGATGCTACGAAATTTAGAAAGTAGTGACAAAACTAAGGTTGTCATGCATGAAAATAAGTTCAACAACATACTTATATACTTGGGCTGATATGCTTATTTCTTTTATTGTGGCAAAACGAAAATTTTGAAACTGAGGCCATCTTTGAAAAATTGTTTGGTTGCCCTCTCCCGACTGGGTAAAAATGGCCTGACTCAAAACTTTTTTTAACCTCTAAGAAGGAATTTTTTTTTTTATGCAGTCAGGAAAATAGATTTTGATAATTCAGTAGTGATGTTGAAATTTTCTGGAAAAAAAATTCTCACCAACCTACAGACCCAATTTTTTTTCATACCCAGTTGGGAGAGGGCAATCAAACATTATTTTAAAGTTGGCCTGAAATATTAATAAACAGACCCAGATAAGCCTCTTAAAACAACTTCAAGTTCAAAGACACTTCAAGGCTCTGTAGTTAGGCTCAATATTCAGAAGGGTCAATTTTCAATGTGTCAAGGTCATGAGAGATTAGAAAAAAAATTACCAATCTATTGAAAAATGACCCTGGGTATAAATTCCATGACTTTTGGTCTCAATTTTCAATGGTGTAAAAGCACCCCTGGTTCAATATTCAACGTTGAAAAATGATCTGTGGGTCAATTTTCAACTCGGGTCAGTATTCAACATTACACTGGCACAAAGAAGATCCCCCACTGTTCTATTGCCAGAAGTGCTGAGTACAAGTCTAAATTTAGAACCCAAATATTCAAATGTTGTGGTCCCATCAATTCTCAAAGAAATTTAAAGCAGAGAAACAACCAATCTTCAAGGACCTAATTTAAAAAAAAACACTGGACTCTCAGGAAGCTGTTTCATGATTTCAAAACTATTATATTGAAATTTTCGATTTCTTTGATCACTTCCTGTGACGACCGGAAGTGACGGCTGACGGATTTAAACATATTCTGCAAACGTACTTGTCATGATCTATAATCCCTGAAAGTTTGAGGTCTTAATCGTTTACCGTTTCTGAGATATCGTCTGGACATGATCTCTTTTAAAAAAACGGAAATCGGACATATCTAACGACCGGAAGTGAATTTTGCAAAATCCTTAAAAATGTTTTTAGTTTATTTTATTTCTCATAATCCCTGAAAGTTTCAAGAGAATCCATCGAGCCATCTCTGAGAAATCGCTTGGACAAAAAATGGGAAAAAAATAATAATAATAATAAACAGTAGAATCACTATAAGGTCTTCCGTCTGAAACGGAAGACCTTAATAATAATAATAATAATAAGAAACAGAGTAAAAACAATATGTTCCCAAACTTCGTTTGGGGAACATAATTACCATACCTTTACTGGATTCCTAACTTCATAAAAATCCTTACAAACAAAGGCACATAGCGGGTTCTAGTAAATGTATTACCAAGCCCCTTTCTTTACTCCTCCCTAAAATATTTACTGTAATGAAGGAGAAACTTCAGGAGTACTGTACATCAGTATATTCGAGAAGTGGTGTAAATCAGATGTGGATACTTAAAAACTCCTAAGAACTTTTGGAAAATTTGAAATCACAAAATTTTACTAAAATCAATAGCATCATAACATACGACTTTTCAACACTTTAGTTTATACAACCATTCCCTACGATAAATTAAAGTCCAGGCTTTTTGACATCATACGAGGGGTGATCAAAAAGTTCACGAACTATCTCTATATTTTCAAAACCACAATTCAGATCAGAATGAAATTTGGCACACATATAGTCATACACATGTTCTATATATAGTAGTTTTATGTAATGTTTTGCTCCATGTTTGTGACGTCACAATGTGAAAATGACGTCATTAGGTAGGTTACTTGTGACAAAAAATGATTGACTCAGTCGTGCTCGAGCAATGAGCAGTTGTAAAGTTTAATGTGTATCTTGGAAATTCCTTTGCAGTAGCATATAATACTTTATACAAAGTTTATGAAGACAAAAGACTAACCAGGAGTTCAATCATTAATTGGATTGATTGTTTTAGTGAAAGAAGGGAGATGGTTAAAAATGATGTTTGTTCTCTTGCCCAGTGAAAGCAAGCTGGGAAAGAGATGTGTCCTCAGTTGAGCAATTTGATATGAAAGACCGCCAAGTTACAGTTAGAAAAATAGTTGAATATCTTAACAATAATACAGTTATTAAATCCCTAAAACATCATTTACTTTAGACTTTAATCATATCAGATATGATAAAAAGAACGCGCCATGCCTTATATCCACATTGGATAAACGACGCTCCCAAGACAAAAGACTCGGGATGTGATGGTCACCATGCTCATTTCAGGAAAGGATGTCCTTATCCACCCATCCTATTGCCGAGATTTGGCCATTTTTGACAAGTTGACTGTTCTTGTTATAAAAAATAACTTGCATGGTAAGAAATATAAGACTCAGAAAAATCTTTTACATCTTGTGAACGGAACGCTTCGGAGCATGTCACGTGACCGCCTGTATCACGTGATTCGCGCATAGGCAGAACGGTGGCAGATGTGCATTTAAATTGGAGAGAACTACTTTAAAAAATAATGAACACTAAAACCTAATTTCATTTCTTTTATGGAAGTTATTCAATTAGTTCGCAAACTTTTTGATCACACCTCATAGACAGCTGCTTTTTCAATAAAAATGGAACTGTAAATATATACTTACCTTGTCATTGGTCATTTACAGAATTATTTTGTTAAAAAGCACCCTGATAGTACACACAAGTACACTGAAGTTGATATTAAAAAGATGCTTGAGTTTCTGATTGACAATATCTATGTAGTTTTTGGAGATCAGGTCTTCCAACAATCTGTTGGAATTCCCATGGGAACCAATTGCGCGCCCTTATTAGCAGACCTATTTTTGTATTCATATGAAGCAGAATTTATTCAAAAACTTCTGCATGAGAAGAAGAAAACACTTGCTGTGGCCTTCAACACGACATTTTGATATATTGACAACGTTTATCAATTAACAATAGCTACTTTCATTCATAAGTCGACTCGATGTATCCCAGTGAGCTTGAAATAAAAGATACCACAGATTCTGACACATCTGTTTCATATTTAGATATTTTACTAGAAAAAGATGTTAATGGTAACCTAACAACAAAGCTTTATGATAAACGTGATGTCTTCAACTTTTCAATCGTCAGCTTCCCTTACTTATGTAGCAGTATACCCTTATCACCTGCATATGTGGTTTATGTCTCTCGGTTGATTTGATACGCAAAAGCATGCTCTACGTATGAACAATTTCTAAAACGAGACAAGCTATTGACAAACAAGTTGACGAAACAAGGGTATCAACAGTCTCGTTTGAAGTCATCTTTTTGCAAGTTTTATGATTGATACAATGACCTTGTCAGCATACTGTAGATTCCTAAATATACGCGAAGAATTAATTAACGCGTAATTACGCGAGGAGCACCACTCGCGAAATAAAATAACTCGCTTTTATTTTTATGGTGTTGAAATTAATGTTAAATCTCATTGTAAACTGTCCATTCGCGAATTATTGTTCTCGCGATTTGGCGTCTAAGAGCCCTTTCGCGATATTAAGTACTCGCGTAAAATAAGGAATTTACAGTATACAACCTATCATTGAGTAAACTGCTTACTGACGTTTTTTATACTAATTGTTAGGCCATTATTTATACACTGAACTGTCTACGGATTTCTCTGATATTACCCAGTCATAACAAGGAGCACACGGCGGGTGTGACCGATCAGCAGAGGATGCTCACTCCTCCATGGCACCTGATCCCACTTCTAAATTTTGAGGTCCGTGTTTGCTCTGCTTCAAATTTGCATTGTTTCATTGGACTTTCGAGATTGAATACTGTTCGTTATCTTCATATTTCACCTTTGTTTTATAACACAATATAACCCTCTATGACCACATGTTATGGCGTCATTTTGTTTCCAACAGGGCTAAAAAATCTCAGGTGAGACTGTGGCCCTTGGGCCTCTTGATTTTTTTTTTTAATTATAAACTTTAATATGTATATGTCTTTGGACAAAAAAGAAGCTCAATTAACAAAACATACATTAGATATTCTTGAAATGGTATTATCTTTCCTTCTCTTTCACATAAGGAGTACTACCGGTAAATAGAATCATAACTTAGAGTAGTCACTAAATGTATTTCAAAACCCAAGACTGTTAAAAAGGATCTTTGGTGTCTTGGAGTTGGAATACTTCAAAACATTTACTTAGTATTGTAGTTGCATGGGTCTTAATTTATAATACTAAGTGAACAACTCAAGAAGCATGTATCCTTATTTATTCTTAATAGCATCTTACCATGTCAAGCCATAGTACCAAAGTGACATCCCCTTTTTATGTAAAATAGACTTTTGCCACAAATAAAGCATGGTAATTTTAATTCCAAGCCTGCTTGCCTTCCCCCCACTTTTTTTTTTTTTTACCAAAAACAGAGCCCCTCCCCCAACACACAAAGCTGTGAAATTGTACTCAGCATGAATTAGATAAGTGAACCTTATCACAGATTAAATAAATGTGATTGAGGTCTATAGATTAAAATTGAAATGAATTGTCATCTTTGTCCATGGAAATACCCCTTTACCTTGAAAAGGATGCAGAACATATATCCCAAAAAGGGCACCGCAAAGAGGAGCATCCCCTCACAAACGAGTATATCTATAAATCAAAACAGCATTCAACTCCATCCCAATGCAAATTACATCACTTCCATTACACACACAAGGACACTTCCCTTACGAACACAAGGACAAACTAATTCACGCCCACCCCACACACGCAAGCACGTTACTATATCCCCACGAACTCTGTTGCAAGTGGATAATTACCTACCAGGGTATTAAATTTTTGGCACATGGCCACACTTCATGCATAAGGTTGTCAACTTCACTTAAGGAGGTCTAATACTGATGGACAAAACTAAGTGTTTATATATTATCATTTATTGTAGGAATAGTAAGGAGATCATGCAGAGTCTGTAGAATGAGGAGTTTGTGAATAGTTTGGTTGCATGTACATCATGAAAACACTATGAAGGCTGGGTGATAGGTGGAATTGTTCTTCTCAAACTCAAATTTTATTTTCACCTATCAATACATCATATGTCCTGTAGTTTACAAGTATATAAGGCCCAAGAACTCTCAAGAATTGCATTCCATCTCTCATTGACACTGTACTTCATTGTCTAAGGATCTGACTCCCTTGCCCATTTATTCATGCATGTATCGATCATCTCTACAACATCCCTGTTTTAAGATGTTCCATACATGATTCTATTTCACTAAATATCAGTCTCATAAAGAATACTCTGCCTTGCATTCATATAAAGCATTGTAGAGTAGAAAAGCTAGGATTTACCAAGAGAATATTTATAATACCAAGAGAAATTTTCAAAAATACAAATACCTGAGCAGTTACATGTATTGATCAACAACAAAAAAAAGAGAAAAGATTGCAATGATCAAGGTCTCTAAAGATAAGCTAATTTTTAAATATAAAAATTTAAATAGTTACTAAGATTACAAACAAATGCCCTGGTGAAAAAATATTTTTTTTTAAACAAGTACCGGTAGATATATATTTTTATTGAATCAAGACAAAGGGAGATAGCTCTTCAAGGACAGATCAAAATGAAAAAAAAATAGGAGCACATTCAATTCTTTCTAATAATATTACTTATCGCTTGAGCATTAATGCACTGAAAACTATTGAAATGTATCAAAACTGATATTCATCAGTGACTACAACAAAGTAATTTCAGGATATTTATAAAGTTGAAGATATTATAAATGACTGTTAAAGGGTGCTTAAATAATCTTCAAAATAAATTCTAGTTGTTATGTTAGCAATCATTGTTGCCAGCTAGGAATAAAACTTCCAAAATAAATGCCCATTTTCTAAAATAGTAGGGAGTATTAAGTATGGTGAAAAAAAAGTTGAAGAATATTAACTATACAAGCAATATTGGAGAAATGCATTCTTCTCTGTAAAAGCACAATAAGATTTTTACAGATTTAAGAATAATAGAGTATAATTGGGGCTAAAAGATACAATTTCATTATCGATGTACCAAATTTGAACCAAGATTTCCTAACCCTGAAGACTGCATATTTCTTAACTAGTGATCAAATTTTTTAGGTTGCCAGTATACTGCTAAAAAAATCACTGGATTTGGATCTACAGGCTAACTGGAATGCTATAATTATGCTCTTTTTGGATATTAACTGAAAAAGTTGTATTAAGTGTAATTCAGTATTCACTTAAACCTATTTCTTATTCAGATATCTACACAATGACTTTCCACAACATATTATGACATTGAATTATCAACTAATCTCTCTCTCTCTCTCTCTCTCTCTCTCTCTCTCTCTCTATAAAATATTTAAATTTAAAATTCAGTTTTGAAACAAATGATTTATTTTTTTTTATCAAAGCAACATTTTTTCTGAACATTGTACATTTAAAAAAAAACTTCAAGAATAATTGTTTTTGCATATTTTTGAAAATTTTGTTACAATGGCAATGTCAAGTATAAGATTTTTTTTTTTTTTAAATTTATCAATTCAAAAACACAATATTTCCTTCATATTTGCCAAATTTCATGCAAATTGGTTGTCAAAATTGTAAGATATTTACATTCAAGTACACCAATGTGACAATTTTGTCAGTATTCCAAAACAACTCGGTACTGAGGCTACCACTCACTTAAAACAAGTCAGCACACAAAGGGTTAATATTTAAAAAATAATAAAAATATAGAAAATTTTAAAAATTACATACATTACAGCTAGTAACTATTGAATATCTATTGCCAGCATGGATGTTAACTCTGGTGTAATAAAAAAAAAAATACAATTATTAGTTACTGGGTACTCGATCATTAATCAAAATAAATGAGTAAACGGCTACTAAAAATTATCTGATTTGACAACTCTACAAAAAAACTATTGAATAGAAAGGTTTTTTTTTCATATTTGATAGAGATACAATCTTTGTGGATGAAATCAAGTGAATAACCATTAATATGTGGACGAAAATCAAAATGTGCCTGAACATTCTCAATAAATACTTTTTGATAACAAGTATTAAAAGAACCAAAAGGATTGGATCTGAAAATCCAAATTTCTTTTCCCTTTTGATACATTGAACCCCTCTATCCTTTGTATATTTTTTACAGACCCCTGAATTTTAAAGATTGAGAGTATTCTGATTTAATATTCTGTATTTCTTTTTGAAATTTTCAGACAATCTCGTATTGAGATGTTGCAGCAGCAAGTTTCTCAAGGGGGAGGAGCTTTAGCTGAGCAGATAGCTGCTGGTAATCTGAATCCATTTAGTAACCAAGTTAGACCTCCCACCCTGGCTGAATGTGAAGCTATAATAAAGCATCTTCAGAAAGTCAATGAAAATCAAGCTCATGAGGTACATATACTACACTTTCTGTAGGATAATGGTTCCTATTTCTTTTCAGGATTTCTAACTTTATTCTTGTTTATTACTTCGATCAATATCATTTTAAAACCCTCATGGTCACATGACTTAGTTAAACTTTAAGTGCAAAACATAATTTAAACCATCAGTACTTATATAAATTTTTGACAATTTTGTTTTACTTCACCATATATAAAAATATAAAAAAAGTTTTAACATTCTTGTAAACATTAATTAACAAATTATGGAATAGAATGATCCACTCCTCTGTTTCCCTACACTGCACATTTAACAAGTCAGTGATGTCATACATGCTCTATTAGTACAGCAAGGTCATACTCGATGAACTTGTGCGCAGTATTACTGTACATGTTCATATTCAAAATATTCAAAATTAAAGTGCCGTCACTAGGTATTGAATGGTTGGCATTATCATGAATTAGCCCTACACACGTCAGCGCCATATATTGTATTTATAAATGATTTTTTAATGGTATTCATGAATTGGTGAATTGTTGTCTGTGCCAAAGCCACTACAATATGAAGCCCACTTTTTAGCTCACTTGAGCTGAAAACTCAAATGAGCTTTTCTGATCACCTGTTGTCCGTCTGTAAACTTTTCACATTTTCAACTTCTTCTCAAGAACCACTGGGCCAGTTTAAACCATAGTTGGTACAAAGCATCCTTGGGTGAAGGGGAGTTTAAATTGTAAAAATGAAGGACCAAGCCCCATACCAAAGGTAGATAATCAATAGGGTGGGGTCATTAAAAATCTTCTCAAGACCACTGGGCCAGAAAAGCTGAAACATATGGAAGCTTCCTGAAGTAGTGTAGATTCTAAATTATTCAAATCACGGCCCTGGGGCTAGGTTGGGGCCACAAGGGGGAATCAAAGTTTTACATTGAAATATATAGGGAAAATCTATCAAATTATTCTCAAGAATTACTGGGCCAGAAATGGTAAAACTTATGTGGAAGCCTCCTGGGGTAGTGAAGATCCTAAATTGTTCAAACCATGGCCCCCAGGGGAAGGGTGGGGCCACAAAGGGAATCCAAGTTTTACATTGAAATACAGGTGACTCTCGATCTCTCGAAGTTCAAGGGATCGTAAGAAAAGTTCGAGAGATCGAGGGGTTCGAGAGATAGAAAGTGAATAAAATCCGGAATTTTCAGTTCCGATCATCATTGTTCAACTATTATAAATACCGGAAGTATATGTTGATAATATCATTGCACGTTTTCATTCGTATTTTACAGGTAATTCACTTGATTTCAACAACAATGATCGTATTTTGAATAAATAAAACGATCTCTTTAAGTTTCAATATTTATTTGTTCTCATTTCATGATTACATAAAACCTGAATAGCAATCGTCGGTGTGGCTACCCCCCGGGCTTGATCGGGTCCTTTACCAGATTTCTCGTAATAAATCGGTATTTAATTCTTGAGATAGGATTTCTTGTGCAATGTTTGTCATGCTGGGATTATGTATACTCTAATAAAACTTCATAATCTATGGAAAATTATTGACACGCCTCTTAAATTATTTTCTAAAAATTTTCGTCTCGCTGTCCAGTCAAAATAAATTTACCAATTATAACCAATTACTAATTTATATCAACAATCGGAGGCTCACAGGTATAGTGTCATCTATGTAAACACCCAATTAACATCTCCACGCCAGCCCCAGGCTTTCACTGTTATCCAGGTAAGGCCAAGCTGCATTAATTTTACGCTTGATTGGCGTGTACACACACGCAATCAAAACTTCGAGAGATAGAGAGTAAAAAACAATGAAATATGTGTAACGGGAGCCAGGTCTTGGTTCGAGAGATAGAGAACTTCGAGATTGGAAGTTCGAGAGATCGGAAGTAAATTTGGTTAATTATATAGAGGGAAAAAACGGGACCGGAGGTTCACTTCGAGAGATCGAGAACTTCGAGAGATCGGAGTTCGATCCATCGAGAGTCACCTGTATGTAGTAAAAATCTTTAAAAATCTTTTTCTGAAGAACCAATGAGCCAGAAAAACTGACACTTAAGTGGAAGCATTCTGGGTTAGTATAGATTCTAAATTGTTCAAATCATGACCCCCGAGGGTAGGGCCGAAAACTAAATTGACACAAAAACATTACAATGTATCTTGTTGCCACATATGCTGTAGAGTAAATAATTGGAATATAAAATGAAAAGTGCTATTCAGATGTTGTGAATTCCAGAATATTGCCTATTGCATATTTAAGCTCTGAGTTTCTTTTCATTTAATTCAATTAATTAAAGTACGACTGTCTATTCAGAAATGTTGCCTAAATTCCCACAATTTATATATTAGAACCAGCAGTGTCCAGATATTTTTATACCCAACGCAACAAGTTGCGTGAGGTATAATGTCCCCCTTATCCAAGCATCTCCGATGTGCAGGATAAGGGTCATTCTATAAGGAAGCCTGACAGCTTCGAGAGTTGACATTGAATTTCTATTCTTAGTTTATCACGACAGAGCCTACTTCACAGCCGAGTGATTTTCTAAAGAAAATTCACCCGGCTATTGTCTTGTTTCATATAAAAGCCCCTGTGCCTTTCGAACACGTTCTCTTTTTACAGCTTAACAGAAAATTTGACATTTATTGAGAGATAATCAGGGTCAGGAAATTATGCAATGGATGTAGATTATCTATGTTATTATAGACATAAGTATATAATATTCATAAAATAGGGATAGGAAGGTCAACTCTCACAGCCGTCAGGCTTCCTTATAGAATGACCCTTATCCTGCACATCGGAGATGCTTGGATAAGGGGGACATTCTATTTCGTATGCCTTCTGGCATTCTCAAGTTGACATTGAATTCTTTAAAGCCTCTCAATAAATGTTAAAAATTCACATACTGTAATACACAAGGAAAATTGTAATCTTCTAAATCATTCATAATTCCACAGATAATACCAATAGGATATAAAATCTGAACTTAAGTATTTTTATGAAAAATAGGAAAGAGAAAAACAGAATCAATATTTATTGTAAAAAAAATTTCATCATGTTCATTGTCATCAAGTACTTCCTTTCACAAAAATTAGACTTGTAAAATTCATCACAATGAAAAATCAAATCATTATTAACTATAACGTCCATCTTTGACCATATCGCACTCATAGTCCCTCAATGCTAGGCATCCTTCCGAGATAATACAGCTGAGGAAAACTGATTTTGATCCTGAATATTTCTGTTGTAAAACCATTGGAATGTAGAAGCCGAAGACCAGTTTGCTGTTGATAATATGTCCTTCAAGGTGACTCCGGACAGGTAAGCTGTCGAGCATGATGCTCCTCTGAAAGAATGTGCTTGAAATATAGAAGTATCTATACCAGATAGTTCCAACACTCTTTTTAGCCATCTTGCTATCGAACTCGATGTTACTTGTTGAAATGTTTTAAAAGAAACTAACAGTTTAGAAGATTTCCTTTTTTCTTTTGTTTTCTCTAAATAGTGTTTTAATGTAAACACAGGACAAATGGTCTTATCATGAAATGCATCTATTTTTATCAAAGAATTCCAATTTCCAAATTTTATGTTTTCTGCAAATCCTGAATAGAAAAACTTACGAAGTTTTCTGTAATATTCATACTATCAACATTCATTAAACTCAGAGTCTGAGATCTTTGAGCTGATGTCAAAGCTAATCGTGCAGTAGTCTTATAAGTCAGCATTTCTAATTTTAATTTATTTAATGGAAATTGTGTTGCTAAAAAACTTAAGACTTTTTGCACATCCCAGAATGATCTGTATTTTGGAATGGGTGGTCTTAAATTAAATATTCCTTTCATAAATCTAGCGATGAAAGCATTATCTAGAAATTTAGAGTTTCCAAGAGATGCTAAAGTTTGTGAAATAGCACATTTATGTGTATTGATGCAACTATAAGATTTATTTTCTAAACAAAGAGTTGTCAAATAATTAACAATGTTTACTTCATTTGGTGCAATTGGATCAACATATTGTTTACTACACCAATGCATCCAAGCTTTCCATGGATATTGATACTGTTTAGCAGCGGAGTTTCTCCACGATTTTGCAATGATTTTTGAAGCTTCCTTTGAAACTCCTTTCTTTTGGAGATATCTCTGGATACACAACAACCTATCAGAAATAACTTTCTCTTGTTCATTGGATGCAGAGAGTTGTTGTGTGCTAGAGTTAGCAAATCTTTCTGAAATAGTAGCTTGACTGGAAAGTCTATTAAAGCCGCAAGCAACCTGGGGAACCATGTTTGAGTTGTCCATAATGGACATACTAATAACACTCTTTTTACCTGTTTGTCCTCTATTTTCTGCAATACTTTTGCCATCTGACTGAAAGGTGAAAAAATATATGGATCAATTATATTATTCCATGATAAAGAAAATGCATCAAATTCAACTGCATTTGGATCGGGAAACCAAGATACATAATTATCAGGTATTTGTGTATTCAGTCTAGATGCAAACAGATCAATTTTAGGTTTAAAAAATCTTCTACATAATTTTTCAAATACATCTGCATTTAACATCCACTCAGTACAATCATTAAACTCTCGTGACAAGTAGTCAGGGATTTTATTATTTTTTCCCGGAATGTGCACTGCTGATATAAATATGTTTTTACTGAAACACCAATTCCATATATTCTTTGTCTCTTCTAAAAGTGACAAAACAGATCCCCCATTTCTATTTATATAAGCCACTGCTGTTGCGCTATCCGATTTCACACAGATATGACAATCATTGTAAAATTTACAAAGGGCAAGCAGGGAAAAATAGATTGCTCTCAGCTTAAGCTTATTTATATGTAACAAACTCTTTCTAGCATCCCATCTGCCTTGTGTGGAATTTTGTGTGAAATTTCCATCTTTAAGTATTGCTCCCCAGCCAATTAATGATGCATCAGACTCAATATATATCTGAGGAGCACTTGGTCTTATTGTTTTACCATTGTAATCTTTTAAATTTTTAATC